TGATTGCTGTGAAGGTGAGGGATGACTGTGCAAGTGAGTGATGAGTATGCAGGTGAGAGATGACTGTGCAGGTGAGTGATGATTGTGCATGTGAGTTATGAGCATGCAGGTGAGAGATGGTTGTCCAGTTGAGTGATGAATGAGCTGGTAAGAGATGACTATGCAGGTGAGAGATGGCTGTGTATTTGAGTGACACCTGTGCAGGTGAGTGGTGGTATGCAAGTGTGTGATGAGTGTGCATGTGAGTGATCGGTATGAAGGTGAGTGAGGATGGTGTATATGAGAGATGGCTATGCAAATAGAGATGGCTGTGCATGTGAGTGATTAGTGTGCAGGTGAGAGATTAGTGTGAAGGAGAGAGATACTTGTGCAAGTTACTGATGAGTAGGCAGGTGAGTAATTAGTATGCAGGTGAGTGATGAGTGTACAGGAGACAGATGCCTGTGCAGATGAGTGATGACTGTGAGGGTGAGAGATTACTTTGCAGGTGAGTGATGAATGTGGTTGTGAGAGATGATTGTGAAGGTAAGAGATGACTGTGCAGGTGGGTAAAGATTTTGTAGGGAGTGATGAGCGTGCAGGTGAGAGAGGGCTGTGCAGGTGAGAGATGATAGTGCAGGTGAGTGATCAGTGTGCAGGAGAGTGATGGCTATTCAAGTGAGTGATGAGTGTGAAGGTGAGTGATGGTTGTGCAGGTGAGTGATGAGTGTTCAGTTAAGTGATGTATGTGCAGTTTAGAGATGAGTGTGCAGATCAGTGATAAGTGTGCAGGTGAGTGATGACTGTGCAGGTGAAAGATGATAGTAGAGTTGAGTGATCAGTGTGCAGGAGAGAGATGACTGTGTACGTGAGAGTTGACTGTGAAGGTGAATGATGGTTTTGTAAACGAGAGATTACTGTGCAGGTGAGAGATGAGTGTCCAGGTGAAAAATGGCATTTCATATTAGAGATGACTATGCAGTTTAATGAAGACTGTGCAGGGAGTGGTGAGCGTGCAGGTGAGAGATGTCTGTGTAGGTGAGTGTTGATTGTATTTAGGTGAGTGATGGCTGTGCAGGTGAGAGATGAGTGTGCAGGTGAGTGATGGTTGTGCAGGTGAGTGATGCCTGTGCAGGTGAGAGATGAGTGTGCAGGTGAGAGATGGTTGTGCAGGTGAGTGATGAGTGTGCAAGTGGCAGATGGCTGTGAGAGTTAGTGATGATTGTGCAGGTGAGTGATGAGTGTGCAGGTGAGAGATGGCTGTGCAGTTGAGAGGAGATTGTGCATGTGCGTGATGAGTGTACAGGTGAGAGATGGTTTTTCAGGTGAGTGAGTGTGCAGTTTAGAGATGGGTGCAGGTGAGTGATGAGTGTGCAGGTGAGTGATGGCTTTGTGGTGATGAGTGTGCAGGTTAGAGATGGCTATGTGGGTGAGAGATGGCTGTACAGGTGAGTGATGAGTATTCAGGTGAGTGATGTGTGTGTAGTTGAGAGATGATTGTGCAGATGAGTAATGCTTGTTCTCGTTAGTGATGCCTGTGAAGGGAGAGATGAGTGTGCAGGTGAGAAATGGCTGTGTAGGTGAGTGATGAGTGTGCAAGTGGAAGATGGCTGTGAGAGTGAGAGATGATTGTGCAGGTGAGTGATGAGTGTGCAGGAGAGAGATGGCTGTGCAGTTGAGAGGAGAGTGTGCAGGTGAGTGATGAGTGTGCAGGTGAGAGATGGATGTGCAGGTGAGTAATGAGTGTGCAGGTGAGAGATGGTTGTGCAGGTGAGTGATGAGTGGGCAGGTTAGAGATGTGTGCAGGTGAGTGATGAGTGTGCAGGTGAGAGATGGCTGTGGAGTGATGAGTGTGCAGGTGAGAGATGGCTATGAGGGTGAGAGATGGCTGTGCAGGTGAGTGATGAGTGTGCAGGTGAGAGATGTGTGTGTAGTTGAGAGATGAGTGTGCAGGTGAGTAATGCTTGTTCGATGAGTGATGCCTGTGAAGGGAGAGATGAGTGTGCAGGTGAGAAATGGCTGTGCAGGTGAGTGATGAGTGTGCAGGTGGCAGATGGCTGTGCAGGTGAGAGATGACTGCACAGGTTTTTGATGGATGTGCAGGTGAATGAAGGCTGTGCAGGTGAGAGATGACTGTGAAGGTGAGTGATTGCTGTGCAGGTGAGAGACAGCTGTGCGGGTGAGTGATGATTGTGCAGGTGAGAGTTGGCTGTGCAGGTGAGTGATGGCTGTGAATGTGAGAAGATTGTGCAGGTGAGTGATGAGTGTAGTAGATGAATGAGTGTGCAGGTGAGTGATGGGGCGAGGTAAGAGATGACTGTGCGGGTGGCAGATGACTGTGCAGTTGAAAGATGGCTGTGCAGGTGAGTGATGAGTAGTGCAGGTGAGAGATGGCTGTGCAGGTGAGAGATGGCTGTGAAGGTGATTGAGGAGTGTGCAGGTGAGAGATCAGTGTGCAGGTGAGAGATTAGTGTGAAGGTGAGTGATGAGTGTGCAGGTTGGTGATGAGATGTATGCAGGTGAGTAATGACTGTGCAAGTGAGTGATGAGTGTGAGGTGAGACAGACGGCTGTGCAGGTGAGTGATGGGTGTGCAGGTGAGGATTATTTGAGCATGGGTGAGTGATGATTGTGGTTGTGAGAGAGGACTGTGAAGGTAAGAGATGACTGTGCAGGTGAGTGAAGATTATGTAGGGAGTGATGAGTGTGCAGGTGAGAGACGGCTATGCAGGTGAGTTATGATTGTGCAGGTGAGTGATGACTGTTCAGGTGAGAGATGATAGTGCAGGTGAGTGATGAGAGTGCAGGTGAGTCATGAGTATTCCGTTGAGTGATGTGTGTGCAGTTGAGAGATGAGTGTGCAGATCAGTGATAACTGTGCAGGTGAGTGGTGACTGCATGTGAGAGATGATGGTGCAGGTCAGAGCTGGCTATGCAGTTGAGAGATGGCTGTGAAGGGAAGTGATGAGTGTGCAGGTGGAAGATGAGTGTGCCTATGAGTGATGGCTTTGAATGTGAGTGATGAGTGTGCAGGTTAAAGATGGCTATGCAGGTGAGAGGAGTTTGTGCATGTGAGGGATGAGTGTGCAGGTGAGAAATGGCTGTGTATTTGAGTGACAAGTGTGAAAATGAGCGGTGGATGTGAAATTGTGTGATGAGTGTGCGTGTGAGTGATGGCTATGAAGGTGAGTGATGATTGTCTAGATGAGAGATGGCTATGCAAATAGAAATGGCTGTGCATGTGAGTGTTTAGTGTGCAGGTGAGAGATTAGTATGAAGGAGAGAGATGCCTGTGCAGGTTACTGATGAGTATGCAGGTGAGTGTGAAGATGAGAAATGATAGTGCATTTCAAATGTAACTATGCAGGTGAATGATGATGGTGAGGGTGAGAGATGACTGTGCCTGTCCCTGATGGCGGTGCAGTTCGAGATGATTGTGCAAAGGAGAGTGAGAGTGCTGGTGAAAAATTACTCTGCAGGTGAGTAAAGATTGTGCACAGAGTGATGAGAGTGCCAATGAGAGATGGCTGTAAAGGAGAGTGATGATTGTGTGGGTGAGAGTTGGCTGTTCAGTAGAGTGATTGTTGTGCAGGTGAGAACTGTGTGTGCAGGTGAGTGAAGAGTATTCATTTGAGTGATGTGTGTGCAGTTGAGAGATGAGTGTGTCGATGAGTGATGAGTGTACAGGTGAGTGATGACTGTGCACAGATAATGCGAGATAATTGTGCAGGTTAGAGATGGCTATGAAGGTGAGAGATGGCTGTACAGGTGAGTGATAGTGTGCAGGTGAAAGGTGAGTGTGCATCTGAGAGTTGGTTTTGCAGGTGAAGGTTGAGTATGCCATTGAGTGATGAGTATGCAGGTGAGTGATGAGTGTGCAGGTGACAAATGGCTCTCCAGATGAGTCAGCGCTGTGAAGGTGAGAGATGATTGTGCAGGTGAGTGATGAGTGTACAGGTGAGAGATGGATGTGCAGTTGAGAGATGAGTGTGCAGAGGAGTTATGAGTGTACAGGTGAGTAATGACTGTGCACATAAGAGATAATTGTGCAGGTTAGAGATTTCTATGCAGGTGAGAGATGGCTCTCCAGGTGAATGATAGTGTGCGGGTGAAAGGTGCAGGTGAAAGGTCATCATGGTGGCAATGTTTCCCAATCCATGTGTATGGAACCAGCCGGTTGTGTCCTCAAGCCCACGCAATGTTACAGGCCAGTTGTATGTCCAGGGAGGTAACTGTTCCCTCAAATGAGCAACTCCTGGGAGAGTGCAGCCCGGGAGCAGGTGAAGGCGGGTGGTGGGGAGAAATGCAACACACCTGGTGCAGTGCGTGGGCGGCACCGAGTTGCAGGATTGGGAGAAGACCTGGGAATTTCAGCGTGAACCCGGAGCTCAGGGTTAGGTCTGGGGAAGAAGCATCGTCCAGACCTCAGCAAAAGCTCCCCACGGGGCGGGCGTGACTGGGCATAAGGGGAGGAAAGGGAAGGGCTGGTTCCAGCGCCTGGTTCTCCCACGGGGGCCTGAGAGGACGAGGCGGGATGCCAGAGGAAGGGGCTTGTGCTATGCCTGGCACGATTCTCCAGCCTGGAAATGCGGGTGAGTTGCGGATTCACACAGTGGGATCCGCGCCCCCCAGACTGGATAGACAGCCCGCGCAGGGGCCTGCTGTCCGGTCGCGGTACCGACCTCAAACCTGACTGGGTCATCCCCACAGGTAAATTGGAAACGCTGGTTTCTGGCCGGGTCTCTCTGTTGGGGTTCTCAGAAACCAGCAGACGAATACCAGGGAGGGACGCTTCATAAATAGTCTCTCACCCTTAGGTGAGGAAGGGCCTGGGTCCGTTTAAAGACCTTATTATTTCTCCCCCGATCTGCATGACTTTCTCCTCCATTGTTCCTGGAAGATCAAGTGCATCGGAAAAGCCTCGCTACACTTGGATCATTTTCTCTGCTTGATAAGCTATATGCTGAAAGACTAAAGAAAGTATCAGGAACAAAAAATAGGGTTCCAAAAGATATTGAAATACAGCTCTTAGAAGCAGAAATTGGACCAGCCAGTGATATAAAAACAAAATAATCCGTCTTAAGGTTTGTTCTCCACCAGGTGTTGGTGTTTCTTATCCTAGAAAAACGCCCAGACTGGCCCCAATAACCCTGCGCAGCTTCAGCACCAGCTCCGGGAATCAAAGGCATTCACCTTCCAGGTATATCCAGAGCACCTGCTGGCGGTCAAAGGTCGGAGTAAAGCCAGAGACCTCAAAACAAACAGAGTGGGGTGCAGGCTCCCAAGAAAGCCATAGACCAAGCAAAGAGGCAGGTGCGTGAAGAAAGACACAGCTGCAGCTGAGAACAACGCAAATGCTTTCTGTGTCCGCACACAGGGTCTTCGGGGGGACTGTCCCTGGGGCTGCCAGCTATGGCAGGGGCACTTCTTTCATCTTGGCCCTCACGCCCTTGATTCCTCCATAGATAAGTCACACCCACATCGATAAGCAAATTCTACTCCCTGGGTGGCTCCCTCCAGCAACTTTTCGGCTTCTGAACCCTGAAAAATATAGACCCTGGGTATTTGGGGCATCCCTAAAGCTCACATGACACATGCTTCCAAGGTTGTCCATTTCATGTCTTCTGGGATGTTTCTCAGCTTCTCTGGAAACTTCTTTTTTCTTTTTTAAATTTATTTTTAAATTGATTATGCCATTATAGTTGTTCTATTCCCCCTTCATTCCCCTCCACCCTACCCCCATCCCCACCATTACCCCCTTTATTTTATGACCATGTGCCTCAAGTTCTTTAGATTCTATATTTCCCATGCTATTCTTGCCCCCCCATCTATTTTCTATCAACTGTCTATGCTACTTATTTTCTGTACCTTCTCCCCCTTCTCCTCCTCCCACTCCCCTGTTGCTAACCCTCCTTGAGATCTTCATTTCTGTTTCCACTCCTGATCTAGCTGTCCTTTTAGTTTGCTTTTGTTTTAGGTGTGGTTGTTCATAACTGTGAGTTTGTTGTCCTTTCACTGTTCATGTTGTTTTTAACTTCGTCTTGTTAGATAAGTCCCTTTAACATTTCATATTATAAGGGCTTGGTGATGATGAACTCCTTCAATTTGATCTTATCTGAGAAGCACTTTATCTGTTCTTCCATTGTAAATGATAGTTTTGCTGGATAGAGCAATCTTGGTTGTAGGTCTTTGGATTTCATGACTTGGAATGCCTCTTTTCAGCCCCTTCTTGCCTGTAAGGTCTCTTTTGAGAAATCCGCTGACAGTCTGATGGGGACTCCTTTGGAGGTGACTGTCCCCTTAGCTCTTGCTGCTTCTAGGATTCTCTCCTTCATTTTAATTTTGGCTAATGTAATGATGATGTGCCTTGGTGTGTTTCGTCTTTTGTCCAACTTCTTTGGGACTTTCCGAGTTTCCTGGATTTCCTGGAAGTCTATTTCCTTTTTCAGATTGGGGAAATTCTCCTTTATTATTTGTTCAAATAAGTTTTCCACTGGTGGCTGTGCCTTTCCCCCTTCTGGTACCGCTATAATTCAGATGTTGGAGTGTTTAAAGATGTCCTGGAGGTTCCTAAGACTCTCCTCATTTTTTTTGAATTCTTGTTTCTTCACTCTTTTTTGTTTGGCCATTATTTGCTTTCTTCTGGTACACTCCATTGATTTTAGTCCCAGTTTCCTTTTCATTGCTATTGTTTTCCTGTGCAATTCCATTCATTTCAATTAGTTTCGCCTTCATATGTTTGTCTAATTTGTGGCTATAATCAACCAGTTCTGTGAGGATCCTGATCACCAGTGTTTTAAACTGTGCTTCTGAGAGTTTTGCTATTTCTTCATCGCTTAAATGTATAGGTTCTGGAGCTTTGAGATCTTCTTGAGTCATTTTAGTCTGTTGGCGCCCATTAAGTATGAGGACTGGAGCCTTGGACTCCCAGGTCACTGGGTTGTGATGCCGTATGTGGAGGCGGGGTCAGAGCGGGGAAATGGCGGCCCCCTCTGCTGTTTCTCGCAGCTGGGTAAAGAGCAGAGCCTTAGGTTTTTCACCGGGGCAGGGCCACTTAGGTCTCTGGATTATGACGCGGTCAGGCTGAAGAATTTGTTGTTATCAGACTCCCGAAAAGTTCAATTTTCTGTGTTCTGGCTGTGTTTTCTGTTGCTCTTATTTAGTTGTCTCTAAACTTGGTTGTGTGAGGAAGCACGGCGTCTCCACCTATGCCTCCATCTTGGCAGAAGTCGAAACTTGTTTTTTATCAATGGCTCATCCAAATAGAGAGAAATGCTCTCCCTGGGCATGCCTTTTCCCCCATGACTGCAGACTGGCTGCCATTGCTCCAGCCATCACAGCCACATCAAAGGCCGACAGGCCCAATGTGTGGAGTAGGAGAGGACTGACAATGGCCACACTTTTGTATCAAGAAAGCCCCAAATTTCATAGCAGTTCCCTGGCCCTATTAGGAGCCTTATTGACTTCAATTTTTTTTTAAGATTTTATTTGTTTATCTTTAGAGGGGAAGGGAAGGAGAGAGGGAGAGAAACATCAATGTATGGTTGCCTTCATGCGTCCCCTGCTGGGAACTGGCCTGCAACCCAGGCATGTGCCCTGACTGGGAATCGAACCACGATTGTCTGGTTTGCAGGCCCGCGCTCAATCCACTGAGCTACACCAGCCAGGGCTGACTTCAATTTCTATCTCATCGGCTAGAATCTGGCCCCAAGCCCCTCCCTCCTTCACCAGAGATGCAAAGGAACCTAGGAAAACAGAGAAGGGACGTGTTTAATATCATCATAATTTATCACCTGGAGAGGAGTGAGAAATTCCCCAGTTTCAACTTGGGTTTTGATGATAACAGAAGGGAAATGAACTGCTTTAAAACACGTTTCTCTTTGAGGATCAATGAACGACCCCACACTTCCCCTCCAAATAAAGACCGGCCCTCCACCTGTAACTGTGGGGTGGGATGCTCCTGCTCCTACACTCAGGGGCTCTGCATCTTGGTGGGACTCCTGACAACTCCCACCCCCAAACGCCCCCAGTTGTTTCATTTGGGGCCTTAGAACACAGCGGCACGTGGAAATGGTGAGTTTGTGGATGCAGGCGCTCACCAATGCAGCTTTCTTTTTGGGTCGGGCAGTAGGGGCTTGGCTGTGCCCTAAGCTTGTATTGGGGAAAACGGTTCACGCTGAACTCACCTGTGTCTGCACCTGTTGTTCTGAGGATGTGTGTGTGTGTGACAGAGACCCGAGCAGATGTTCTGATGAGAAGGGTAGAAGCATCACAACAGTGTGTGTCCCTGCGGTCGTTCCTGTGAGGTGGCACACGGCTTTTATTCCTGAGGGCAATGGGGCAGCTTGTGCAAAAGCCAACACGCCATTGCCGCTGTCACGGCGTCAGCCCCAGGACCCTGAGCACGGCTCCCTGTGTGTTTGTTATGAGTCGCCAGGAGAAAAACAGATTCTCTGTCTCTCATTTTTCTGTTTGACCCAGGTTCTTGTGGCAAATGTGCAAGAAGAGGGGAAAAAAAGACCTGAGCTTTAGAACTTTGTATCAATTTTATTTTGATGTTTTTAAATAACAAAGTATTGAATGTTTAAAAATGTAATTCAGTGTGTACTGACGCGTACATTATGTGCATTCCAACATTCAGCTGGAGCTGTCTCTAAAGTCACCAGTGCCTGGGCGAGAGGCACCCATCTGCTGCTGGTGGAATGTGCTGCCTCCCACGCCGGTCGTGGAAGAGCAGAGAAGGAGTTCTGGCCCTGCACAGAGGCAGGGAGGCAGCTGCAGGTGGTCTGCGGAGGCGCTGCAGTGACCGATCCCGTGGATGCCGCCAGCCTGCTCCCAGGCTTCCGAGGGCCAGGGCCTCCTCCACATGCCCGAACTGGGCAGGTAGGTCAGTGTGGGCATCGATCATCAGAATCCTGTAGGTAGAGTCTGGCCTTTCTTCACATTAGAGATGAAAACAAGCCCCAGAGTAGAACTCTGGAAAAAAACAACACACACGCTTGTGCACTAGGTAGAAGATAAATACACACAGACGTATGGATGGAATCCTAAAGAAGAACAGCAAGTGAATATTTGTGAGGCATAATTTAAAATAAAATTGGAGAAATAAACACTATGCATCCATGAAAGTGATAATCATGAACACCCAGTGCAAGGGGTTAGAGTTAGGAGGCACCGCAAAAATTAGCATCGATTTGTCCTCCCAACGAACCTGGAGACTCACTGCTCAACACAGCAGGCAACCCAGAGGCTCGCTCACACTATTGGAGGGGAACCAGTTATGGGTGCTTTTATTTCCTTCTTTAATGTTCTATTGGGTTTAGAATGTAGAAAAACCTTTTAAAAGGAGTGAAAGGTTAATCACTTCCAAACACCAAATATACTTGCACCTGCTGAAAATTTGGTTTTCAGTCAAAGACACGCCCACGATCCTTGTTCCCCAGGCAACAGACACCATTGCAAACTGCACATGGGTGATGTGGGTGTCCTTTTCATGTAGAAGTGTTGCAGTTGAAATTCAGGTGGACCCTGCTGGGACAATAGGGAGGGACTAGAATGTTCATCTGTTGCTGGGGAGGGTTTAAAAGGGTGTGGCCAGCTTGGAAAACAGTTTGACAGTTTATTAATACGTTAAAATACTCTTTGCTATGGTTTTATATCCAAGGAAATGGAAATACAGGAATCCCCTGTGAATGTTTCTGGCAGCATTCTTTAAAAATATATTTTATTGGTTATGCTATTACAGTTGTCCCATTTCCCCAATTCAGTCCCCTCTACATACCTCTTCCATCCACATTCCCCCACTTTAGTTCATGTCCATGTGTCATACTTATAAATTGTTTATCTTCTATATTTCCCCATACTATTCTTACCCTCCCCTTGTCTATTTTCTACCTACCCATCTATGCTACTTATGCTCTATACCTTTTCCCCCCTCTCTCCCCCTCCCACTACCTCCCACCCCTCCCAAACACCCCTGTTGCTAACCCTCCATGTGATTTCCATTTCTCTGGTTCTGTTCCTCTTCTGGTTGCATGCTTAGTTTGTTTTTGTTCTAGGTGTGGTTGTTAATAATTGCGAGTTTGCTGCCATTTTACTGTACATGCTTGTTATTTTTTCTTATCAGAGTCCCTTTATCCTTTCACATAATGTCCTTGGTGATGATGAACTTGACGATGATGAACTTGACCTTGACAATGATAGTACAGATGAAAGGTAACTTTGCAGGTGAGTGATGGCTCTAAGGTGAGAAATGAGTGTGGAGTTGAGAGATGATAGTGCAGGTTAAATGTAACTGTTCAGGTGAATGATTACCGTTGATGTGAGAATAACGGTGCATGTCAGTGACGGCTATGCAGTGAAAGATGATTGGGGAGGGGAGAGACAGAGTTCAGGTGAGAAACGGTTGTGCAGGTGAGTGATGGCTATGCAGTTCAGAGATGGCTGTGGAGGTGAGTGATGAGTATGCTGGTGAGATATGGGTGCGCAGGTGAGTAATGGCTTTGTAGGTCAGTGATGAGTATGCAGGAGAGTGAAGATGGTGCAGGGAGTAATGAGCGTGCAGGTTCGAGAAGGCTGTGCAGGTGAGTGATGCTGTGCAAGTGAGAGATGAGTGTGAAGGGGAAAGATGATAGTGCAGGTGAAAGGTAACTGTGCAGGTGAGTGATAGCTCTGCAGGTGAGAGATGAGTGTGAAGTTGAGAGATGATAGTGCAGGTGAAATGTAACTGTTCATGTGAGTGATCACCGTTGAGGTGAGAATAACTGTGCATGTCAGTGATGGCGGTGCAGTGAAAGATGATTGCGCAGGGCAGAGTGAGAGTGCCGGTGAGAAATGATTGTGCAGGAGAGTGATGAGTGTGCAGGTTAGAGATGACTGTGCATATGAGAGATGACTGTGAAGGTGAATGAAAATTGTGAGGGAGTGATGAGAGTGCAGGTGAGTGATGGCGGTGCAAGTGAAAGATTACTGTGTAGGTCAGTGATGGCTGTGCAGTGAGAGACGAGTATGCAGGTGAAAGATGATGGTGCAGCTGAGAGGTAAGTCTGAAGGCGAGAGATGACTGTGCCGGTGAGAGGAAACTATGCAGGTGACTGATAATGTGGACATGAGAGATGACCGTGTAGGTTAGTAATAATTTTGCAGTGAGAGATGAGTGTGTAAATGAGAGCGGATTGTGCAGGTGACAGGTAACTCTGAAGGTAAGAGATGACTATGCAGGTGAATATAGCTGTGCAGGGGAAAGATGATTGTGCAGAAGAGAATGACAGGGTAGGTGAGAAATGATTTTGCAGGTGAGTACTGAGTGTGCAAGTAAGAGATGGCTGTGCAGGTGGGTTATTGTAGTGCACGTGAGAGATAACTCTGCATTGAGGAAAGACAGTGCAGGTGAGTGATGAGTGTGCAGGTAAGAGATGGCTGTGCAGGTGAGTGAGTATTTGGCAGGTGAGAGATGGCTATGTAGGTGAGAGTTGGCTGTGTAGGTGAGTTATGTGACTGCATATGAGTGATGAGCATCCAGGTGAGAGACGGCTTTGCAGGGGATTGATGAGTGTGCCTGTTAAAGACTTTGCATGTGAAATGAGTGTGCATTTGAGAAATGGCTGTGCAGGTGAGTGATGAGTGTGCAGGTGAGTGATATTTGTGCAGTTGAGAGATGAGTGTGCAGGTCAGTGATGAGTGTGCAGGTAAGAGATGGCTGTGCAGGTGAGTGAGTATTTGGCAGGTGAGAGATGGCTATGCAGGTGAGAGTTGGCTGTGAAGGGGAGTGATTAGTATGCAGGTCAGAGATGGCACTGCACGTGAGAAATGAGTTTGCAAGTGAGTGATGACTGTGCAGCTGAGAGATGACTGTGCAGGTGAGTGATGGTAGTGCAGGTGAGAGATGGTTTTGCAGGTGAGAGATGACTGTTCAGGATAGTGTTGGCTGTGCAGTTGAGAAATGACTGTGAAGTTGCTTGAGAAGTGTGCAGGTGAGGGATATTGTGCAGGTGAGATTTTTGTGAAGGTGTGTAATGAGTGTGTTGGTGAGAGTAAGCTATGCAGGTGAAAAATGGGTGTGCAGGTGAGTGATGAGTGTGCAGGAGAGAGATGGCTATGCAGGTGAGTGATGAGTGTGCAGGTGATGGTTGTGCAGGTGAATGATGAGTATTCAGTAGACTGATGTGTGTGCAGTTGAGAGATGAGTGTGCAGATCAGTGATAAGTGTGCAGGTGAGAGATGTGTGTGAATGTGAAAGATGAGTGAGCCATTGAAAGATGGCTTTGCATGTGAGTGATGAGTGTGCAGGTTAGAGATTCCTATGGCCGTGAGAAATGGTTGTGCAGGGGAGTGATGTGTGTGCCAGTGAGAAATGGTTTGGAAGGTAAGTGATGAGTATGCAGGTAAGTGATGTGTATACAGGTGAGTGATGAGCGTGCAGGTGACACACGGCTGTTCAGGTGAGTGATGGCTGTGTAGGTGAGAGATGATTGTGCAGGTGAGTGACGTGAGAGTGCAGGTGACAGATCATTTTGAATTTGAGTGATGAGTATGCCGGTGAGTGTGAGTATGCAAATGAGTAATTAGTGTGAAGGTGAAAGATGGCTTTGCAGGTGATAAATGACTTTCAGTTGAGAGATGATTGTGCAGGTGAGAGATAGCTGTGCAGGTGAGAGATGGCTGTGAATGTGAGTGATGAGTGTGCAGGTGAGTTATGAGTGTGTAGGTGAGTGATGGCTGTGCAGGTGAGTGATGGCAGCTCAGATAAGAGATGACTGTGCAGGTGGAGATAGCCGTGCAGATGAGAGATGGTTGTGAAGGGGAGTGATTAGTATGCAGGTTAGAGATGGCACTGCACGTGAGAAATGACTTTGCAAGTGAGTGATGACTGTGCAGTTGAGAGATGACTGTGCAGGTGAGTGATGGTAGTGCAGGTGAGAGATGGTTTTGCAGGTAAGAGATGACTGTTCAGGACAGTGATGGCTGTGCAGTTGAGAGATGACTGTGCAGGTGATTGAGGAGTGGCAGGTGGGTGATCATTGTGCAGGTGAGATTATTGTGAAGGTGAGTAATGAGTGTGTTGGTGAGAGATAGCTATGCAGGTGAGAAATGGCTGTGCAGGTGAGAGATAGCTATGCAGGTGAGAGCTGACTGTGAATTTGAGTAAAGAGTCTGCTGGTGAGTTTGAGTATGCAGGAGAGTGATGAGTGTGAAAGTGAGAGATGGGTGTGCAGGTGAAAGATGACTGTGCAGGTGAGAGATGATAGTGCAGGTGAGAGATGGCTGTGAAGGTGAGAGATGGCTGTGAATGTGAGTGATGAGTGTGCAGGTGAGTTATGAGTGTGCAGGTGAGTGATGGCTGTGATGGTGAGTAATGGCTGTGCAGGTGAGAGATGGCTGTGCATGTGAGTTATCATTGTGGAGGTGAGTGATGATTTTGCAGGTGAGTGGTGGCTGTGCAGCTGAGAGATTACTGTACAGGTCAGGAATGGCTGTGCAGTGAGAAATGAGTGTGCAGGTGAGACGATAGTGCAGGTGAGAAGTACCTGTGAAGGTGAGAGATGACTGTGCCTGTGAGAGTTAACTTTGCAGGTGATTGATGACTGTGCACGTGAGAGATGACTGCGCAGGTCAGTGATTGTTTTGTAGTGAGACATGAGTGTGTAGGTGAGAACTGGCTGTGCAGGCGAGTGATGAGTATTCATTTGAGTGATGTGTGTGCAGTTGAGAGATGAGTGTGCAGATGAGTGATGAGTGTACAGGTCAGTGATGATTGTGCACATTGAGATAATTGTGCAGGTTAGAGATGGCTATGCAGATGAGAGATGGCTGTACCGGTGAGTGATGGTGTGCAGGTAAAAGGTGAGTGTGCATCTGATAGTTGGTTTTGCAGGTGAAGTTTGAGTATGCCATTGAGTGATGAGTATGCAGGTGAGTGATGAGTGTGCAGGTGAAAAATGGCTCTCCAGATGAGTGAGCGCTGTGAAGGTGGAAGATGATGGTGCAGGTGATTGATGAGTGTGCAGGAGAGAGATGGCTGTGCAGTTGAGAGGAGATTGTGCATGTGAGTGATGAGTGTGCAGGTGAGAGATGGATGTGCATGTGAGTAATGAGTGTGCAGGTGAGAGATGGTTTTCCAGGTGACAGATGAGTGTGCAGGTGAGAGACTGCTATGCAGGTGAGTGATGAGTGTGCAGTTTAGAGATGGCTGTGTGGGTGAGAGATGGCTGTGCAGGTGAGTGATGAGTATTCAGGTGAGTGGTGTGTGTGTAGTTGAGAGATGAGTGTGCAGATGAGTAATGCTTGTTGCGGTGAGTGATGCCTGTGAAGGGAGAGATGAGTTTGCAGGTGAGAAATGGCTGTGTAGGTGAGTGATGAGTGTGCAGGTGGGAGTTGGCTGTGCGGGTGAGTGATGAGTGTTCAGTGCTTTGATGTGTGTGCAGTTGAGAGATGAGTGTGCAGATGAGTGATTGGTGTGCTGGATAGTGATGGCTGTGTGGGTGAGAGATGATTGTGCAAGTGAGAGATGGCTATGCAGTTCAGAGATGGCTGTGGAGGTGAGTGATGAGTGTGCTGGTGAGTGATGAGTGGGTGGTGGCTGCGCAGTGAGAGTAATGCCTCTGCAGGTGATTGATGGCTATGCAGGTGAGAGATGAGTGTGAAGATGAGACAGGATAGTGCAGGTGAAATGTAACTATGCAGGTGAATGATGACGGTGCGGGTAAAAGATGACTTGCCTGTCCTGATGCCTGTGCAGTTAGAGATGGCTGTGCAGAGGAGAGTGAGATTGCAGGTTTAGGATTATTCTCCAGGGGAGTAAAGATTGTGCATAGAGTGATGAGAGTGCAGGTGAGAGATGGCTGTGCAGGAGAGTGATGATTGTGCAGGTGAGTGATGAGTGTGCAGGTGAGAGATGGCTGTGCAGGTGAGTGATGATTGTGTAGGTGAGTGATGAGTGTGCAGGTGAGAGATGGCTGTGCAGCAGAGTTATGAGTGTGCAGGTGAGAGATGGCTGTGCAGTCGAGGGGAGATTGTGCATGTGAGTGATGAGTGTAGAGGTGAGAATTGAATGTGCAGGTGAGTAATCAGTGTGCAGGTGAGAGATGGATTTCCAGGTGACAGATGAGTGTGCAGGTTAGAGACGGCTCTGCAGGTGGGGGATGAGTGTGCACGTGAGAGATGGCTCTGTAGGTGAGTGATGAGTGAGCAGGTGAGGTATGGCTTTCCTGGTGAGTGATGAGTGTGCAGTCTAGAGATGGCTATCAGGGTGAGAGGTGGCTGTGCAGGTGAGTGATGAGTATTCAGGTGAGTGATGTGTGTGTAGTTGAGAGATGAGTGTGCAGGTGAGTAATGCTTGTTACTGTGAGTTATTCCTGTGAAGAGAGAAATGAGTGTGCAGGTGAGAAATGGCTGTGTAGGTGAGTGATGAGTGTGCAAGTGGCAGGTGGCTGTGCAGGTGAGAGATGACTGCACAGGTTTTTGATGGATGTGCAGGTGAATGAAGGCTGTGCAGGTGAGAGATGCCTGTGAAGGTGAGTGGTTGCTGTGCAGGTTAGAGAGAGCTGTGCGAGTGAGTGATGAGTGTGCAGGTGAGAAGTAGCTTTTTTCGTTAGAGATGAGTGTGCCGGTGAGAGATGACTGTGGAGTTTTGAGATGACTGTGCCTGAGTGATCCTTGTGAAGGTGAGACATGGCTGTTCAGGTGAGTGATGTTTGTGCAGGTTAGAGATACCTATTAAGTTCAGAAGTAGCTGTGCAGGGGAGTGATGTGTGTGCCAGTGAGAAATGGCTTGGCAGGTAAGTGATGAGTATGCATGCAAGTGATTTGTATGCAGGTGAGTGATGAGCGTGCAGGTGAAACATGGCTGTTCAGGTGAGTGATGACGTGATATTAGTGTTGTGGTGTGGTGTGGGTGAAATGGCTGCGATTGTGTGTGCAGGTGAGGGCTTCAGGGAGGCTGGATGATGAGAGTTCAGGTGACCGATCATTGTGAAGTTGAGTGAAGAGTATGCAGGTGAGTGTGAGTATGCAAATGAGTGATGAGTGTGAGGGTGAAAGATGGCTTTGCCGTTGAGAAAGGACTTTCGGTGGAGAGATGATTGTGCAGGTGAGAGATAGCTTTGCAGGTGAGAGATGGCTGTGAATGTGAGTGATGAGTGTGGAGGTGAGTTATGAGTGTGTAGGTGAGTGATGGGTGTGCAGGTGAGTGATGGCGGCACAGGTAAGAGATTACTGTCACGGTGGAGATGGCTGTGCAGATGAAAGATGGCTGTGAAGGGAGTGATTAGTATGCGGGTCAGAAATTGAACTGCACGTGAGAAATGACTCTGCCAGTGAGTGATGACTGTGCAGTTGAGAGATGACTGTGCAGGTGAGTGATGGTAGTGCAGGTGAGAGATGGCTGTGCAGTTGAGAGATGATGGTGAAGTAGAGAGGAGTGTGCATGTGAGAAATCATTTTGCAGGTGAGATTATTGTGAAGGTGAGTAATGAGTGTGTTGGAGAGAGATAGCTATGCAGGTGAGAAATGGCTGTGCAGGTAAGACATAGCTATGCATGTGAGAGCTGACTGTGCAGGTGAGTGATGAGTATGCTGGTGAGTTTGAGTATGCGGGAGAGTGATGATTGTGAGAGTGAGAGATGAGTGTGCAGGTGAAAGAAGACTGCAGGTGAAAGATGATAG